CCTGAAATAGAAGATCTGAAAGATAAAGCCAGATGAAATTACATGGTTGAAGGTCTAATTTGAAGGTAGTATTTGATCTTCTTTAAAATACTTCGAAGAACACATCATTTTTGGAAATTCTATGTCCGCTGATGCCTATATTCTTCATTTCCTTTTGAGTTTGTAGGTATGTGACAATTATTTAGTATTTTTGTTGATTTGAAGATTAACCAAACATCCAACAAGAATAACGGTTTAGTTTGTTTCTTTTTTCTCCATTAACTTGATCGGAAACAGCTAACTCCTGTAAGAACTTTTTTTTTTGTGTGTTCCCATCTTTACCAGCTGAAAAAATTTGTATTTATATATATATATATATATATATATATATATATATATATATATATATAATTGTAGATTTGGTCGGTAGTGGTTGAAACATTATAGTGTTTAGGAAAATACTTTTAGGCAAATATGGTCCATAAGGATATAAGACATTTTTTTCTTTAGAAATAAACTACTATGATTTTTAAATTAACTATTGTGATTTAATGAATCAAAACGATTAATCAGTAGACTAAAACATGCAACTTTTGTCCCATTGCTTGATTCTTTCTGTTAGAGGCGGAACTAGAAATTTTGATAGGGGTACAAACATTGCGAAATTATTATATGTAGTTATAATTTCTTTAGTTGGGGGTACAATAACATAAAATATGTTTACAAATAGTATTTGTTATATATATAAAACAATTTTGTGTGGGTACTGTAGTACCCCCAACGCCCCATTTAGCTCCGCCACTGCTTCTGTAGTTGTTTGTTTTGGTTAAATTTTTTTTTTTACCATGTCTCATCAAATGTATTGAAATATAACAACATATTGCTTATCTAATTTCCACTTCCTTAATAAAGTATATGGATGATTAAGCGGCTTTAGAGAGGGGTATTATATAATGGGCAGGTGTACCAAGGATATAGCTGGGTAGGTGTAAGAAAGAGGATGGGTAATGTATTCAGTAGAGAGTTGAGAGATTGAGGTTATAAGAAAAGGGTGGTTTTGGTAATTGAAGAGGTAGTAAGAGCTACATGTGACAACGAAGCAGGGGTAATAGAGTTGTAGGGTAAGACTGGTCAATCCCCCATACTCACACCATTAGCATCCATCATGTCCTTTTAATGGGTGCTACATTGGATCCTTTTTTGATCTTGTTTTCAATGTTGTCAGGAATGCTCAATTGAACTTTTTTAAAAATCAAATTATAACTTCCAGTATTCAATTTCAAGAATTAGATAACCATTTTTTTTAATGACTTCTTAATTTTGTGTAGGTGGTTTCCAGGATCCGAGAATTCATTAACCATTTCATGTTTACATCTTCAATCTGATGTAAGCAATAGTGATGCTTTATTATCTCATTGTGTCTCCAGGGGGTGGGTAACTTGTATTATGGAATTTAAACTATTGGTTTTTCTATAAAACTTGAGATCCATGTGTGATGTGTAAGAGTGTTTTCTGTGGATTTTTGTTAAGATCCAACACTTTACAATCTTTTGGATGCCTTAATTCCACCTTCCCATCTAAGGTAACATATTTAGGTGCTGTTTGTTTCTTTGGAAAAAACCTCTTCAAACATTTTATGGCTGCGCGGCGCAACACACGCGCAACACTTTTCATCTCGCAGCTGTTTGTTTTTTAGAAGTCTTCTGAGTCAAAAACCTCTACACGTGCTCTGTTTGGCACAACACTTGTACCGCCTCTTCCAAGCTCTTCTTCTTCTTTTTTTATTGATGAAATTTTTATTATATGTTAAAATTTTAATTCACTTTTTTTTTCGTTTTTTTGTTTATTATTGTTGAATTTATTTTTTGTTTTTTTTTATATTCAATAATGATAATTTCTTGATGAAATATCATTAATTTTTACTAAAAAATATATATTTTTTTTATTGAAGTATCATTATTTTTTACTGAATTATCATTAATTTTTACCGAAATGTTATACATAATTAAATTTTACGTATTAAAAAGCTATGTTCGGTTTATAAAACTAGTTTATTTTAATTTTTTAATATCTGCAACAGTATGCAAATGTTAAAAAAAACAAACACGCTTCTTATTACAGTTTGCAGCCATTTGGTCCACCTCTTCTACTGAAGAGGGTTGCAAAGTTGGTCCACACACTTCATGAATTTTTGCTTCAGAAAATCAAACGACACCTTAATCTTTCACTTTTTACGATATATAAAATGCCACAATAAATAATAAAAAAATTATGTCCATCCCTTTCACCCATTACCACCAATGCAGGTGATTTTCCTAAGCACATCTTACTTTATGTTTATTACTTTATTTGTGTTTTGTAATTCTAGTTTTGGAAGAGTGAGTGATTGAGTTTGGAGAAAGCTTATTGAATAAACAACAAGTGTTTTGTAATTGTAAAATGATAAATATTTATAAATTATAAGCATGGTTTATCAGAGTAATACCAAATGGTTTCTTTGTAAATTATTAAAGGCTATTTATTTTTATGTTGTAAATTTTACAAACACTATTATGTATCTTGTACATATGGTGTTATTTATTGAACTTCAAATATAAGTGTAAATGTATGTATTTTTTTTTTTTTTTTCTATTGTTCATTTGGCTCAACATTTTTAAACTACATAAATGTATATCCTTTTTGTTTCTACATTAGTTAAGAAAGAAGCTGAAGTCACTCGAGATATATTTTTAGGGGCGAAAAACACCGAATCTTAAAACCGAAAATCAACAAAAACCAATGTCACCGAAGCAAAAAAACCAAAACTAAATCAAAACTTTTGAACTACCTTTTATTTAATTATATGTTTAAAACAATAAGTTGCCTTCGTCTATACTTAATTATATATATCAATTATTTTTTGTTAAATGTTATAAGGATTAACAAATAAGAAACACAAACCGGTTAATGAATTACTCCACTAATTTTGGTGAAGTTAAACTTCCATGTTGTTTTAGACAATTAATTTCTCATTCTCCATTTCAATTTAATTACATAGAACGAACATTTTTTTCGTAGTTGAAATATTGATGAAATTGCTTTGTTTAGACAACTTTATTTGTTTGAGCATTAAAAAAATATATATTATTTTTATATATAAAGAATGAAGACCAAAAAATTTATAACTTGAATGACAACATAATCGGTGCTGCTTATGATCAAGTCCATTGTCATTAAGGGCTGAATATCAATAAATTTCAAGTTTTGAAGAAACAGAAATGTTCGAGTTTTTTAATCAGCATATTGGTGTTATTTTAGATCAAATGTTTTACTAAGGGACAACCAATGGGTAGAAAGGGCATGTAATGTGAGCGCCTTGCCTACAACCTATTTATACATTAAAAACATATTTCAACACACATGATGAAACGTAAAAATGTTAAGTGTAATATCCCAAATAAACGAAATTTACTATCCCATCATTTTAGTCTAAATATAAAGTATAATATTAATTTTGAAAGCAGATGAATTGTCAATGTAATGTAAACATGTCTTAGAAAAAAGTGTATGTAGTCCGTTATTTTAATCAACATTAACTGTATCTACATGACATAGAAAAACTATAAAGCTAATAACCTATCAAGAACTTAATTATGTTTAGCATTGAATATTATCCGGCCAAAACTCCCCAAAGAAATCTGCTCCCAAACTCATTTCTTTTTCTTTAAAAGTTATTCTTTTTTCGAAACAAACCATTGGAATTATCCTAATTTTAAATATTTGAAAGAAATTATTTGCAAATGAATTAATAGTCTCTAGAAACTAATTTCTGAAAAATCGCTTGGCGCGGGTAAACGGCTATATATATATATATATATATATATATATATATATATATATATATATATATATATATATATATATATATATATATATATATATATATATATATATAACATTATTGCTATTCTTGTATTGGTTTAGGTTACTGTTCCATTACTATAAATAAGAACATGTATTTGCTAGTTTAAATAGAGATTTATAAAAATAAAATCCTTTGTTTTCTATTCCTCATTTGTTTGTTTTTGGGCATCAAGGTATTACCAATTTAATACCTTACACTCTTTGTGAAACCAAGTCTACCAGTACATAATGATAAATTTTCTTTCAATATAGAACTTTCACAATACAATTTTGTAAATGGAACAGATTAAAAAAAAAGTTATAATAGACAAATCAATAATAATATGCTATAATTTCTTGGATAAACAAGTAACCGGAACTTTTATACATGTCGACAAATCTATCAACCACATGGGCCAACATACTTGGAACAATTTAAAAATAGTTTTAGAAAGGAAATGTTAAAATCTAATCTCGAAACTTTTAGATTTAATATATATGACAAAATTGCAAAAATGGTCCCTGTGGTATGCAAAATTTTGGGGTTTTAGTTCAAACAGTGACTTTTTTGGTTTTGTAGTCCTTTTGGAGTGGTTTGTATATGAAAATGGTCCCTCCAAAAACTGAAATGACTATAATACCCTTGGGGTATTTATTTTTCATTTTTCTTTCATTATTCTTAAATTTTAATATTTATTTATTTATTTTAACAATTAAAAAAATAAAAAAGGCCCACCTCTCTCTCTCTCTCTCTCTTTCTTTCTCTCTCTCTCTCTCTCTCTCTCTCTCTCTCTCTCTCTCTCTCTTCCTTATGATCCATCACCCGTTCGTCTCCTTCCCCTGTCAAAGAACTAGAATCACCGGTGATGTTTTCCCAGTTCCCCACTGCTGCCACCTCCATATCCCCTTCCCTTCCGCCTTCTGCTGAGAAACACCACCAGAAGCACCCTCTCCGGCTGTTGCTACCCTTCTCAACCCCCACAACCCCGATTGAAGGCTTGAACCGCCAGAAAAATCGACTCCTTCATGCTTCATAACGAATCAGGAAAAGAAGAAAGAAAGAAGATGTTGCTTGCGATCCCTTATGAAGGTATTGTAGCAACAAACACGATTTACTACACCCGAGATTGAACACACACCAAAACTCGTCAAACTAAGTTGAATTAGGTTTTCTAAAATCGAAGTAGATACAGATACGGTGGAAATCAAGTCGGAAATCGAAAACACGTTTAGAAATTTGGCAGAATCATAATTTGGATTATGAAATCAGTTCATACATACATATGCTCACAAAGATGAATGCAGAAAATCTAAAATAGATTACAAGAGAGCAGATACTAGCAGCGGCTTAAGTTGGAAGAAGGAGGTCGGCCGCCGGCGAAGTGAAATTGAAGAAAAATGTTAGAGATTTGAGGCGTTTGATCGACAGAGAGATACGATTCTGATTTAGGGTAAATACAGACATTGCAGATGTGGATTAAAATGGTTTGATGATTATGATTGAGAAATAATAGAGAAGCTTCAATCGATTATCCATAATCATTTTATTTTCCGACAAGTTCGGGTGATTGAAGGAGGATAAGTTTCAATTGATTTGTCCCAGTCTCTCTACCAGTCTTCATCTCTCAAAAAAGCAATACGATTACCAATGGGTTGCTCCGATCAACAGAAAAAAACAAGGAGGGAGGTGGTTTCATGGTGGTCCCAGCAACAACAACACCATCGTTGGTGGTGGTGGTGTTTCTCGATGGGAAAGAGGCAGTGGGTGGCAGAGGGAGGAGCTCCGGTAGCCTCTAATGCTTTTGTTTGGTCTTCTACCGGCGAAGACAAAGGAGGGAAAAAGTGGCATCGGTGATTGCTGGAGTGACTCGACAGAAGAGGGCGGAGGGAGGTGGTGGTCGGTGTCAAGTTGGTCGGTCTTTTCCTTCGGCCGGTGAGATACGAACTGGAGGGATCGAGATTTGCTATAGCAGTAGCTGGATATTTGGGTTTAGTGATATGTGTGTGTGTGTGAGAGAGAGAGAGAGAGAGAGAGAGAGTTATTTATTTTCTTTTTCTTTTAAATTAAACAAAAAAAATACAAAAAATATATCAGAAAGGGCATTTTAGTCTTTTCAGTTTTCCGAGAGACCAAAACCACAAGCAAACATGGTCAAAAGGACCACTAATCTAAAAAAGTCGAGGTTTGGACTAAAACCCCAAAAAAATGCATACCACAGGGACAATTTTTGCAATTTTGTACCACATTATCACCCGACCCGACGGATGTAGTGTGACCCAAACCTAACCCGTGTTCAAAGTAACCTCATCTTTAGACAATTTTCAAGCTCGGTTGATCAAAAGGCAATAAGGCATCCATGAATCGACTTTCATGAATAAGGATAATCAGAAAGTAAAAATTTATCAGTTGCATGGTTTTTTATCTATGCTGGAGAACTCCACTGCATTCTCTTTTCTCTTCTCTCTTTTCTTTCTTATTTCTGATCAATTTATTGCAGGTTTTATATTTGCTTTGGGATGAATATGGTGTACTCTTGTGTAATCGATAGTATTTTTATAATTTAGTCCCCCCCCCCTCTATAGGATTCTCTCAATTCCTCTTGTTAGCTAACCTAGAATATCCAATTCGTGTTTGAATTTGTTTGTTTTGTCCACGAACGCCATTGGGAAATGTCAATTGTAGCTTACATCAACTCTATTTCATGTTAGAAATTTGGGTTTAGAAAGGCTTGGAAATTTGAGAATTGTGATTATCACTTTCAAATCGAAGTATTTGGTGGTACTCCCAAATCTTCAATTGGATAAGACTCAGAGAGACAAGAACAAAGAATGTTTGATGATATTTTCGTATGTACCAGAAAATGAGACCAAAACCAACTTTTAACAACTTTGTCTGAAAACTGTCATATGATAGTTTTAAACTGTCATAAAACCATAAAAACTGTCATAAAACGGATATATGGATAAGGGTCAAACCAATGGTCAATTATCTGGAAAATCAGCTCGATCCCAGCCAGGGGCTCTGCCCCTTGGACCCCGCCAGGGGCTGCCGCCCCTTGGACCCCGCTCCCAGGGGCGCTGCCCCCGGACCCCCGTTCGTTCAGGGGCTTCACCCCTAAATGACAGTGTACTTTGAAACTTGATCAAACTTAAACAAGTGTGTACTCCACACCTTCCTTACTTGTTTAATATTTATCAAGATCATTTTTGGTCAACACAAAGTAATCTCATTACACTTAAATAACATTGATGATCAAAATCACCAACATTTCAGTTCTTTAATTGGTGAATTCCACAAAACTAGCTTGTGAGTTATTTGCATGGATGAGAGTTGATTCATATGTAAATTCATGATTGACATTTTGTGCATAGAAATCATTAGAACGGTGGATCTACCATGGGGATCGAGAACATATACATGAAGGAGAATACAGAAAGAAAATTGTTCTTAATATAGCCAAAAGTTTAAGAGATTTACTTGAAAATTGTAGAGAAATAATCGTTCACCTTATTATTAAACCTTAAAACATATCCTAGACAAAAATATAACACCAGAATATCACGTTGTCTATCTAACTGGCTGAAAAAGAATAATTAGTCATGGATCTTGTATCTTGATTCCTCTCTTTCGGGAACAATATAAATTACCATATCATCTATAAAAAAATATAATATTATAAAATTCTAATATATTAACAAAAAAATATCAATATTTCCATGTTTGCTTCAGTTGAGTGCTACAAAATGAGTGTAACGCTTCACATCGAGCTTAAAAGCACGTATTCCAAGTACCATATTGAGATAAATTTCAGATGATTACAAAATATTCAAACAACAATGTAATATTCGACCTCAAGTTTCCACCTTTTTCGTTGATAATTGAGCCCAGCGATTCTGGAGCCAGATAGCCAGGGTTCCTCTGATTGTAGTTATCACTTGGCTTTGATCTCTATCCACAAACTTAAACAACCCAAAATCAGATAATTTTGCATTGAAATCCTGGTCTAGGAGTATGTTTTGTGGTTTTATATCGAGATGGATGATTTGCATGAGCAGTTGTTCAGACACTCTTGTTTGCAATTTCAAGTCTCCATATCCACATCTTCCCTGACCGGATTGACCGGATTGTCTCGGTTGGCTTATCAAACAACCACCAGATCATATTGATTGAGAAGAATGGCAAAGAGGTAAGATTTACAACTTCCTTTACAGAAGAAGCCACAAGAAAAGTTGTGTTCTTCAAGGATGACCCCAATCCTTTTGGTCCTTGACCCAATATTGCTTATCCCATTGAAGGGAGAGAAGATTCTTTGTTGGTCCATGTGGTTGATAGATTTGATCGATGTAGGAAAATTATGAGGTTGAGAAGCATGGATGAGAAGATGAGAAAGAAGCCAAAGAAAAAGCTAAAGATCCAACATGCCCTCATCACTATTAATGAACACACAAGAGGCTACGAAAATGAACTCGCAATTTAAACATCTAAAGTAAAATAGGGGATGGAGGAGGTTTAATGAAGAAACGAAAAATCACATGGAGTGGTTGAGTTATTTCATGCCTACTTTCCCTCTCAATAAATGCTCAATAAATGCTGAATAAATGTTGATCAGAACCATGCATATGGTATTCATCCTCGTTTCCAACATACCCACTAAGCATTTTCTTTAGTTCACAAAATATTTTGAGTCAAGTCTTACAAAAAAATATATCCTAAGTCAAGCCTTACAAAAAGTTAGGGATTATAATCGGAATTAAAGTCGATGTAGAGCATGTGTTACTTGACGAGTTTAATTTTCATTTGATTATTATGAAACTTTATACTTTTTTATTTAATTGCTATTTATATTTTATTTACTCCTTAATTACCTTCTCAGAATAACTCTTAATAAAAATAGTTTATGTTTGATCAATGATATATAGATGCAACATAATCGATTAATCTTGATTCTTGATTGTTCAAAACATCGATTCTCATCCGTATCTGAAGTCACAAGTTTGAATGTTGATTAAAAAATCAAACGATATTGTTCATCCTCTCTGATTCTCTATCAATTTAAAAATCAAACTCCATTGATGATTCTTCTTTCTTGATTAGACTATCTATTAGGGTTAATACTTAATAGGGTTTAATTTTTTAATCTTCAATGTATGAATTTTGATTTTGGAATCAGGTATAGATTTTGGATATCGGAATCAACCAATCAGGTTTAGAGTTTGGATATTGGAAATATGGATTTTGGTTGGAACGAATTTCAGTTTTGCAATTATATATTTCCATTTCAGTTTTCTCAATGAATCAAGCCCTCAAGGTTAAGGTTGTTGTTAAGAAATCACTTTACCAAACAGGTAAAGCAGGTATTTTCAATATAATATGTAATCCATTACTATTTAGTTTCAATTTACTTTTTTTATTGTTTTAATGATAGTTATTTTTAATTAAGTTATCAATAATCATAAAAAAGGATTAACTATTTTTTCAATTAAAAAAGATTTAGTAAAAGAAATTGATTATGAAATTTTTATTAGAGAATTTGGATCTAAAAAGGCTAGAAAAATTAACTTTATGTCTTAAATATATTCACAAAAATCATAGGGTATATTGGCCTTCAGCACAAAGCAGGACCGCCTTAACCCAACCACAAGCAAATAATCATATGCACATATAACAGGTAATCACATAATAGTCCATAGACAAACAAATCAATCTAGCAGATCATAAGGCATAGCAACATCCTAACCAGGATACCGACCTAACTGGTCACTAACATAACATCATCCTATATACTAGGACACCGACCTAAACCAGGTCACTAACATAATACTGTCCTAATTACCCGGATGTCGATCTAATCAGATTAATAAGCACATCAACAAGTACATGTACAAATATCAGATATAACTGTCTCACAGATCATCGATCATAATAATCTCTCATAACCAAAACATCGACCTAACCAGATATGAAGTTACAACTTCAGATCTTGGCTCATACTCTAGGAAATGACTTTATAACCCAACCAAGAACCCTAATCTCCAACTAAGGAGGTCTAGAACGAAGTAGAAAGGAGGATAACAATTTGATACCTTCCCAAGAGATGACAACTGGAGTGGATCCGGATTTTCCCGAAGCTCCTTGCTCGAAACCACTTGCTTCCCTAGCCTTTTTCACCAAAAATCCTCTTCCAAGGCTTCGAACACACAATAGGCACACACACACGTATTAGGGTTTGCTAAGAGACTGCACAGAGGCTGAAAGAGGTTTATGTTCCTATAAATAGGGTGTACAACCGTAGGATTTAGGGTTTTAGCTGCCACCTCCTACTCGCCGAGTCCCAATATGGACTCGTCGAGTAGGTTACTTAACCCGCGATCCTTCCCACTGCTACTCGACGAGTAGATCAACCGACTCGTCGAGTAGGGCTTAACCAAATAACTCATATTTAGACAATACTTGAGAATTAGGGCGTTACAACTCTCCCCCACTTGATCTAGACTTTGCCCTTGAAGTCCGCTGGAATAAACAACGCCGGGTAATGCCCGCGCATCTCCGCCTCCAGCTCCCATGTCCACTCGGATCCCTTCCGATGTTCACACTGTACCTTTACTAAAGGTATTTCCTTGTTCCGCAAAATCTTCTTCTTCCTTTCCAAAATAGCCATAGGCTTCTCCACATAGTTCAGGCGCTCATTGACCTGAATGTCATCCGACGATACCACTGCCTCCTGGTCCATAATGCATTTTTGCAATCGCGAAACATGAAATGTGTTGTGGATCCGGCTAAGCTCCTCCGGAAGCTCTAGCATATAAGCCACCTTGCCAACCCTGGCGATAATCTTGAACGACCCAATGTAACGGGGACCCAATTTTCCCCTCTTCCTGAAGCGGATTACACCCTTCCAGGGTGAGACCTTCAGAAGAACCATGTCACCCACCTGAAATTCCAGCTTAGATCGGCATCGGTCGGCATAACTTTTCTGCCGGCTTTGAGCGGTCTGGAGTCGCTGTCTAATATGTTGTATCATTTCGGTAGTTTGCCGAACTACCTCTGTCCGACCCATCACTCTGTGCCTACCCTCGCCCCAGCAGACTGGGGTCCTACACTTCCGCCCATACAACGGCTTGAAAGGCGGGGCGCCAATACTGAAATGATAGCTGTTGTTGTAGGCGAACTCTGCAAGCGGTAGGTGGGAATCCCAACTCCCACCGAAATCAATAACGCACACCCTCAACATATCCTCGAGGGTCAGAATGGTCCGCTCACTCTGCCCATCGGTCTGTGGATGGAATGTCGTGCTAAAATGTAGTCTCGTACCCAGTTCCTCGTGGAAATTCTGCCAAAAAAGGGAAGTATAACTGACATCTCGATCGGAAACAATAGAAACTGGAAGCCCATGGCGAGAGACAATCTCTTTGACGTACAGGTCGGCCAACTTCTCTGCCGACGAACTCTCCCGTATAGCTAGGAAATGGGCACTCTTGGTCAATCGGTCCACAATGACCCATATAGTATCGAACCCCCTTACCGTCTTCGGCAACTTCGTGATGAAATCCATTGCAATCCTTTCACATTTCCACATGGGAATCTACAGAGGCTGTAGCTTGCCATGCGGCCTATGATGCTCGGCCTTGACCATCCTACAGGTCAAGCACCTCTCAACAAACCAAGCGATATCTCGCTTCATACCAGGCCAACAATAACTCGAACTCAAATCATGGTACATCTTGGTGGATCCCGGGTGAATAAAAAAACGAGACTTATGAGCCTCCTCCATCACTGTCTGCGGGACCCCTCCGGACATCGGAACTCAAACCCGACCGTAACGGGTCAACAATCCGCGACTATCTTGAACAAACCGGGCGCTTTCGCCCTTAATCCTCTCCAACTTCAGTTCTCTGGCCTCATGCCCTCAATCTAAGAATCTATGATCAAACCCAGTAGTGGGGAATCCACTGCTATCCTCATACACATGGCTGGGGTCAAGGACCCAGCTGACTTGCGGCTTAGAGCATCCGCAACCACATTCGCTTTACCAGGATGGTAAAGGATCTCGAAATCATGGTCCTTGACTACATCCAGCCACCTACGCTGCCTCATGTTCAGGTTCGGCTGATCCATGATGTGTCTCAAACTCTTGTGATCTGTGTATATAGTACAACGGACCTCTTAAAGATATTGCCTCCAAATCATGAGAGCAAAAACCACCGCTCCCAACTCAAGATCGTGCGTAGGGTATCTCGTCTCATGCAGCTTCAGTTGCCGCGACGTGTAGGCTACCACTCGTCCCCTCTGCATGAGGAATGCCCCCAAGCCTGTGATGGATGCATCACAAAATACCACAAAATCCTCCACTCCCTCGGGGAGTGTCAACACCGGCGCCTCGCATAAACACTGCCGGAGGGTCTTAAACGCCCTCTGCTGCTCGGCGCACCACCGGAAATCCACCCCCTTCCTCATTAGACGAGTGAGGGGTATGTCAATCTTGGAGAAATCATGAATGAATCTCCGATAGTACCCTGCTAAACCCAAGAAACTCCTGATGTCTGAGGGAGATTTCGGAGTCTCCCACTTCATTACCACCTCCACCTTGGCCGGATCGACCAAAATCCCTTACTGGTTAACGAGATGTCCGAGGAAATGGACCTCTCATAACCAAAACTCGCATTTCGAGAACTTGGCATACAACCATTCTCACCTTAGAACCCCCAGCAGCTTCCTAAGATGCTCCTCATGCTGCTCTCGAGTCTTGGAATACACCAAGATATCATCTATGAACACAATGACCGAGAGATTGATCATCGGTCTTCTGACTCGATTCATCAGACCCATGAACACCACTGGCGCGTTGGTGAGCCCAAACAGCATCACCATGAACTCGTAATGACCATAACGAGTCTGAAACGCGATCTTTTCCACATCCTCCTCCTTCACCCTAACCTGGTAATATTCTTATCTCAAATCAATCTTGGAAAACCAAGACGCACCCTACAGCTGATCAAAAAGATCATCCATCCTCAGGAGTGGATGACGGTTCTTCACCGTTAACTTGTTCGGCTCCTTATAGTGAATGCACATGATGTGGGAACCGTCCTTCTTACTGACAAAAAGGATCAGTGCTCCCCAGGGTGAACTTCTTGGACGAATAAATTGCTTGCCCAACAGCTCCTGCAACTGAGATGATAGCTCCTGCATCTCAGGCGGTGCCAGTCGGTACGGTGCCTTGGCGATAGGGGCCACACCTGGCACTAAGTCGATCTTGAACTCAACCTGCTTCTCCGGAGGCACTCCGGGTAACTCCTCCAGAAACAGATGAACAAATTCCCT